TACGAAATGGAAAGCTTATTATTGGAGAAGCTATCTGAAATCTATTTTGTTAGAACAAACAAATAAATAAACATACATACATTTTCTCACCTAACACCTCTTCTTCTAGTAAACGGAATATTGCACTACACAGAGCGGAAAGTACAGACTGCTATTTTTTACATAGATCACTACTTTTATGTTCTAATTCAAGCAACAGTAAGCAAGACATTCCAATGCATCTTCAAATAAAGTTCACAGTAACTTTGCTATCTGGTAGAACCACCAAAACCCGTTTTCGATAAGACTAAGGAATAGAAATTTCTCTGAATGCATCACACATTCAGATACAAAAGTTAGAGTCCCTTTAATCATACTATAAAATAATTGGAAAAACAATTTGAGAATCCAACTTCGAATTTCACTATTTAACCTCAATAACCTATTTTAAAGCTTCATCAAAAAATTCAAAAGCCTTGAAATAGAATAGCTTGTACCTGATTGGTCCAGTCTCTAGCCAATAGAAGCTCGAATGAGAAACCCGAACAAAGATTCGATTTTCTAGTCTTCGATAACCTACAGCAAAGTCCTGAAAAATAAAAAAGCTCGATTGTGATTGGTCAAATTTTCGACCAATGAAAGCTCGAATAAAAATTTGACCACTGGTTTGAGTTTCTCGCCATCGATAACCTACAGCAAAGCTCAATCAAAATGCTCAAAATGTGAAGAATAGAAAAGCTCGTTTCTGCTTAACTGATAGCGACAAAAACCAGACAAACAAACATAGATACCTTTTCTCATGTAACACCCTTTCTTTCAGATAAGGGAATAAATACATGGATGGTACAAATTCTGTGTACTTTCGTTTGAATGGATACTCTAAATTCAAGAATGAAATAATGCGCAAATCATTCTGAAAAACTGTCCCTCACTTCAAATAAACGAACCAGATCCTCGTCGGTCGTCGGCGCTCCTTCGGTCGGGACGCCACTCTCGACTCGTCGCTTCTCTAACTACCTCACACATTTCAATACGAAAACTCAAGGTGTCTTTAGTGACATTCTAAAAAACAATTCATACAACAACATTTAGGTCAATCCAACTTCAAGTTCGACGATTTGACATGTATTAAGAACCGGAAAGTTACATCGAAATCTCTGAAAGTCGAAAAGCAGAAATTCTATTTTTGATTGATGGATTTTGTGACTAATAGGAAGCGAGATGAAAAAGCTAATGTCAGATTCGCGTTCCTCACCCTGATGTCCTATAACAATGTTTCATCAAAACGCTCAAAAAACTAAAAATAGAAAAACCCTGTTTCTAATTGCTCGCCTTTCTGGTCAATGAAAGCCCGGAAAATACCTGCCCACAGTTTCGAGCTTCTCGTCCCAAATAACCTATAGTAAACTTTCATCAAAACACCCAAAAAGCGAAAAATCAAAAAGCACGTTTCTGATTGGTTCATTTTGTGACCAACAAAAGCCTGGATAAAAAATCCGATCTCAGATTTGAGTTCCTCGCCCCCAATAACCTATAGCAAATTTTCATCAAAACAGTGAACAAGCCCAAAAATAAAAAGCTCGTTTCTCATTGGCTGGTTTTCCGACCAATGAAAGCTCAGGTAAAAAATCCGAGCTCGAATTCCAGTTCTTCGCCCCCGATCTCCTATAGGAGAGTTCCATCAGAATGGTCGAAAACCCGAAGAATAGAAATGCTCATTTCTGATTGGTCGCTTTCCTGACCAATAAAAGTTCGGACCAAAAATCCGACCTCGCATTCGGACTCCTCGCTCCCGATAACCTATAGCAAAGTGTCCTCAGAACAATGAAACACCCTAATATAGAAAAGGTCATTTCTGATTAGTCCACTTTCTGACCAATAGGCGATCAGATCGAAAATCTCACCTGAAATGCGGATTCCTGACCCTCGATAACCTATAGCAAAGTGTCATCAGAACAGTGAAAAATCTTAATATAAAAAAGGTCGTTTCTGATTGGCCCATTTTCTGACCAATAGACAGTCAGATCGAAAAACTGACCTCAGATTTAGATTCCTGGCCATCGATAACCTGTAGCAAAGTGCCATTAGAACGCTGAAAAACCGTAATATAGAAAAGCTCGTTTCTGATTGGTTGGACAGACAAACTTATTTTAGCTTTTTACCGTGATATTTATCGCCATATAACCCTTTATTTCAGAAAAAGGGATGAGACTAAACAAGTTCTCAAGCAGAGATTTATCAAAGCACGCAGATTTTCTTTAATTGGAGTCTTTAGAAAGCTTTGAGAATCTTTAGAAATCTTTAGAAATCTTTCGGAGTCTTTGAGAATCTTGAAATCTTGAAATCTGCTTTTTCCCCTTGGGATGACCCCTTGTTTCAGTAAAAGAACCATAGAATAAAGATATTTGTTTCGTTAACGAACAATCAAGAAATATTGTTGGCTACAAAATTTCGAAAAATGTTCTGATCAGCTGGATGCAAATAGAGTAAATTTACTAACCAGAGCTTATCCATTCTGCACAAATGATCAAATATTAACACTATGGAGGGTTTTCTGAGTCAAATCTCACTCCTGATCGGTCGACAAATTCCGAGCGATCATGACACGGATAGACACGAAATCTTAGAGCTTTGAAGGCTCAATTTTTGCCGGATTGAGAATAGTATTTTAATTCACATGGACCACATATTCACACTTTCCTCGCCTCTATACATTTTGTTGAATTCCCTTTCTAGAACCCTATTTCGATTGATTCTCATCCAAGCAACAGCATTCTGAGGGAAATAGGGCTCAGATCTGAGATCTAGGCCCAAAAAAGCCCTTTACAAACTATTTTCTTGCATATTCGAGCTCTATTGGTTCCTAGTCAACCAATCAGATTCGAAGGCTTGCACTCATTAGTCACAAGCAGCCCTGACCAATATCACTTATGTTTCACTATCCCCTATCAGTCTTTAATGTCTATAATTAGTGTTAATTATCCTAAGCCAATCTGAAATACTTTTCATCAGTATTAATTGTCGGTGACTCGTGCTACTTCCTATTAACTACCTTTAATCGTCCTAAACTACGTCACTTATCCGTAACTACCTGCAAGTAGCCTTAACTATCCTTAATTAATCGTAACCATCCTCAACTATCCACAATTACCCTTAGCTATTCGAAACTATCTATAATTACTCTTAACTAGCAATATCTACCCTCAATTAACTTTAGCTATCCTTAATTATCCATAACCGTCCTTAATTATCCCTAACTAGTCCTACGTATTTTTAACACTTCTTAATTAGTCTTAACTATCGTTAACTAGCCATAACTAGTCTTAGTTAATCTTACCTAGTCTGAATTTCCTTTGACTATCTGTAGCTATCCTCAACTAAGATTAGTTACCTTTAATTAGGCTTAACTAGTGTGACTGATCCTTAATCATTCTTGTTCATCCTAACTCACCCTCATCCTAATTCTTAGCAGTCCCATACTGAGTCAAAGCCTTGGTCGCACATCATGTTTTTTTTTGACCTTTGACCTTGACACTTACCCACATACAAACTTATTTTATTTCATATGACCCTCCCTTCAGTCGAGGGAATAAATAACTATGAATGTCATAAGAATCTTCGGTTTTCTTTCTAAATTGTACTTCCAAGAACTCAATTCGTTGTGACTTAATTGGTTCCAATATTACTTTTCTATTAGTCTGAGTACTTACCAAGAAAACAATAATTTCTTCCATTTATTGTAAATCTGTATTCAGTACATTGATCTGTTTGTGACCTTGTGGGATCATTCATATTTCCTTCACTGTGACTGTAACCTTCGGTAGCAGCTCGAAATCGTGTTGGTATCGCAATTTTCAAGTTGTTCAGTGTACCATTTTTGAAAAAGTTTGTTAAATAGTTAATGAATGTAGATTTACCAGAACCAGTTTCACCGATAACTAAGATGTTGGCCATAGCATCAAATCAAGTGAAGCAGTTTAAAACATTTCATAAGATGCTACTAAACAAGATGCATGGTATCCAACTCATCTTTTAAGAAGAAAAAAAGATTAGCTTTTGAATAAAAAACTGGTACAAATTTCTACAACTTGATTAACAAAAAACTCGTAAAATATTTCAGAAGTTTCACACGTGGAAAAACTGTAAATAGGTAGGTTACTTCGATTTCGAAAATGGAATCGTTTCTCATGTTAGTTAATAACATTGGCCACGTTCGGTCTAAATCGCTCGGCACAAAAACATCCAATTGAAAATATTAGCTGCTCATAGTGCGTCTGAACTAAGCTATTCATGGTTTAAAGTATTGACAATATAGGTATATATAACAGTACTTCATTAAACCATGACCGACTGCGCTCAAACGACGTTCTTCGAGTTTGCTCAATTTGGTACATATTATAGAGATAAGAGTTTCATGAATTCAGATGCAAGCCGTCTTTAATAATATTGAGACATCGATCCTTTATGAATTTTTTCGGATGCTCTTAAAATTTAGAACTTAGAAATAGAGGATTTGGTGGATTGTCTGTCGCAAGTATGAGTTGATCGATCGAGCTGAAGTTTTTCGTAAGTAGAGCTCACAGATATATGTGTTCACAAAAGATTTCAGCACAATCGACCAAGTCATTTTTGGTATATACAGTCCACAAAGTTCTCCATTTATGGATCCTATATTTTTTTTGACTTTCAGAAAAAAGCCTCATTAAAAACCGATTTTTCAGTATTTTTACGGACAACTTGTGTCAAAAGCCGCAAAATTGTTGCCCCTATGACAAATACCAAATTGAGCATAAAAATCGAAGAACATTCATTAAGCCCAATTCATCGTGGCTTACATGGCGTGACCTTTAAATACCTATCTTATCAACACTTTATAATGTAAATAACTCGGTCCAGACTTTCTATGGGCAGCTAATATTTTAAACTTGGGTAGCTTTGGGTTAAATAGTTCTGTTTGAACATGGCTAGTATTATTAACCGACTTGACGAACTGTTTCATTTCAGAGCCTAGCTTGATGTTTTTAAATTCCAGCTAACTTTTCTGCGCCTTCGAGAAATTTGACTTTTTCGGTGCTTCCCATTGAACGATAAAGTTTCAATAAACGATATTCGTCGTCGTCTTGCACAATACGATTATCACGACAATGACGATCGATATCTTCTTCAAATTCTCGTATGCGTGAAGTTGTGTCTCGGATGTCTCTTGAATCCTGATAATCACTATCCAAATTGTTGACAGTTCCAGCGGTCCGTTGATCCGTATTTGTCGCTTTACGAGTTAGTGGTATTTTAGCTGGGTAATTGACATCGAGAGAGATTGTTGATGAGGGGGAGTACGAGGTAGTCGCAGTGCCTATCATTTCTCGAAGCATTGTTTGATCATTAGCCGGCATAACTGATGAATAGTCTACTGAAAATGATCGGTTCATTTCCGATTGCTGATGAGCAGATTCTTTTTTCACATTGATTATGTTAAGTTGCTGTTGCTCTGCTAGCATTTTACACGATGCTCTCACTTTATTCAAAAAATTCGTTGCTTGATGTTTGGCTGAGGTTGATTTCAAGCTTTTGATATCACTTTCTAGATAACCGATGAATAGACTAAACTCATCGGCAATATTGAAATTGACACAGGCTTTAACAAGACGTGATGCGCAATGCAATATTGCAGTTAATTGATTTTCTAACTTAGTTGTAATAGCTGCTTTAGAATTTTGAGCATATTCCTCTTCAAGAGCTTTTACCATTTCCAATGGGGTATGATCGATAGGTTTAATCAATTTTCTAGCATGATAATGATTTTTATACGAACATCGCTGTAAACATTTGGTGCATCGATTACTTGCAAAGGTTGCACAAGCGGTTAGAGTGTCAGCACCTTGACCTTTTATTTCATTTAGCGCACAGTGTTCATGACATATGCTGTGGCAATTCGAACATATGGTGTTATGATAACTAACGTTTGTCCACGTATATGTTTTTCGGATTTTATTTGATAGGGTTTTCGTTTCTAATTCATCATCTAGTGCTTGTAATTATTTGATGATCAATCTTGATTCATGTAATAAACTTCTCAATTCATTCCTATCACTATCTATATCAATAAATACTTTGGTTGCAATAGGAGTGAAATTTCTTAATACATTAACCATTTTGTCTATAACATTCATTGATTGATCCCAATCATGTTGCAGTCGCTGTTTCGTGTGCGAATCTACCTTCTTGATATCATTACAAAATGCTGAATTCTGCATATAAAAACTTTTAATTGTGACTGGTAAACCAATTCTTTCTGGTTCGAAATTAACTGTATATTGGGTACAATTAGTCAGTACAACAATAATATTTTCTAATACAATATTCGGCAACCAATGACGAAATTGTTGTAAGACATACTCGATATTGAATGTTAAACGTAGTTGGGTGCCATTGATAACCAATAGAATAGCTGTTAAGTTCTTCATATTTTGTACGATATTGAAAATTTCTTTCATATTCTCTTTGTCAAACTGAATACCACGCGTATCACCATTTCCCGGTGTATCAACGAAGTAGAAATCACAGCTATCATTATCAACAAGTTGAGTATACCGATAATTATGGCAACCGACTGTTTGACTCTTTGTATTATCATTGACATTATGTTCATTGGATTGAAAGTCTCGTTCCGTAGGTTGATAAAATTCAGTTGGTATTACGATTTTCATCTTATCGAATCGACCGTGACGAAAATAATTTGTAATATAATTAATAAGTGTACTTTTTCCTGAAAGTCGTGTAGAAAATAAAGTAATTGATAACTGAAGAATCGACTATCACCAAAACCTTCCGAAGGTGGCTTGAACTAGTTAACAGTTCTGTACTCACAACGCAACATACCTCTAAGTTGAAGCCGTTTAGATTCCATTATTTGGCCATAAGTAGGCCATATTGAGATATGAAAAACCTGAAGAAGATTCATTCTTTTGTGCCTTTGTGCCCGAAATATCGACGTTTCAAGATAATGACATGCAGGAAAGAAAATGAAAAGCAGCAGCTCGGATAATGGATCTTCTTCATCTGTCTATCGACGATTATTCTTGTTTAAAATGAGACTAGTAATAAAATAAAAGATTTTCAGTGCTCTTTGGACTAATGAACAATAAGTAGAAATATTGTTCATAAGATTGGATCTAACTTATGACTCATGGCATCTTACCCGAATCACATGGAATCCAAAAAGATCTCAGCCTTTAATGCTTGATTATTTTTCCGAAAATAATCATTTCTTGTTTCATTCTGTTTCCATGTGCATCTTGAAAATTCGATATCTTAGGAACAAAGATCCAAATGGATGAATTATCTTTAGGTTTTTCACACCTTAATGAGGTGTAGTTATGGCTAAAAGATGGGGCTAAACAGCTTGAACACATCGGTATGTAATCTCGCCAGTACAAAAATGTTTTTCTTAGCTCGATGATCAAGCTGAAATTTTCAGGCTAGAATTCTAGATCGATTTGGAATTAGGAAGTGTCATGGTCCTGATCATGAGTTCTTTGCTGTTGTTCTCTGAACCGTGTTCTCTCTTTCCCCATATTTTATCCCTCTGAATTTTAAGAGTTCTGTTCTTAAGTTGTGCATGAGACATATTTCTCTTTTGTTTTTTTTTATATTTTCGTTCATTCGTTGTGTTAGTCTCTTTGCGAGCAGATATGTTAGAGCGCAACATCTCGTATAAGGCAAAATATATAATATTTCTAAGTATGATCTATCAAATGCCTACAGCATTGAAAAGAGCCAGTGCAACTACTAGGACAAAAAAAACTAATTTCAATAGTTTAATCTGAAACTTTATCATAGTTCAAGATCAAAGATACTAGACTTTTGGGAAATTTTCAGCTTAGTATCCGCATTCCTTCTAAAGATATCAGTATCACATGTTTCATTAGATAGTCGTTTCCAGCTAGAAAATACGAAAAGTCAAGATATTCGATCTTAAATGGGAATGCAATGTTTCTAGTTCGAAAGAACCAATCAAACGTTCGTCGTTGAGGTCGTGAGGGTGTAGATTTAAAGAGAAGATCGACACTCAAACTTCAATATATATTGGTTCCCTACTAATAATCAAATATTCCACTTACCGCTCCCAGTTTCACCAATAATAATCACATTAATTTCTTTCGCTTCGGAAGTAGCCATTATAACAATGTCAGATTAGTATATACAGAGCAGCAGATACCGATCTAGAAATCAAAGTAGTAGCATCATAGACATACTTATATTCAATATAAATCTGCTGGAGACCCATGTTTGACGAACAGGATTGATGTCGCTTCCAATCTTCTGTTTCTTAAATCCAAAATAAAGTGGGTGAAGATGTGGATGAGGATGAAGAGAATCGATCTCACCAACACCGTCACCCACACCTTCACCTATCCTCAAGGATGGACACACTCAAGCACCGTTTCGGCTCGCTATTTGACTTATGATTGAGTCTGTATTTGATAGATAGACTTCAAAATTACAGGAAAAGTTTTCCTCACAGCCTCTCATTGTTGTCCAAAATTTTCAGACTTATATAATTTACTAGTGAGAAATGGCACCATAATCAAGATGCAGATGTTGTTTAAGTCCAGATATTCCAATATTCAAGTAATGGACTTGAGATTGTGAGAACATATCTAGCGCATATAGAAGCACATTTTCGTCATAAAAAGTCACAGAGTTCACCAAATATCACAGAAAGTAATACAAACTTTTATAGTCAATTTTTTGTCAATCTTACAACTCTGTGGGGAAAAGCTAAATGTGATAACGACGGATTCCATAAGCCTCACAACTCCTGAAGATCTGTTGAGCTTCGAAAGGTCGCCGGCAGTTCCATTAAATTTCAATGAGTTTCCGGATATCCTGTGAAATCTGCAAAAATCTTATGACGCGTTCGGGACTCCTTAGACAGCACTTCGGTGATTCAACGCTTTGATTTTTTTCAACAGCTTTTGTCTAAACTGAGCCAGAAAACAAGGTGTTTGTGTGTGAATATGGGTGTAGGTGGAGGTAAAGGAGACATCAACACCCGTGCTCACACTCTCATACCCAAAAACAGAATAAATGTGCTTCTTTATTGGGAAGAAATTTCTCAAAACAGAAGAATTTAGCTCTGTTTGTGGAAGTTTTGATCACAAGTACAGAATAGAACACAACAAATCCAAACTAATTCCAAACATTATATACCAGATCTAAACAAGTCCAAATATTCATTTCCAAATCCAAACAAAACCTGGATTTGGAACCTTCAAACAACTCCATGTTAAATGGAACCCAACTCCAATACTTTGGGTTTGCTGCATTCCTATACCAGACAAGTGAATTCACAATTTCCTAACTAGTTTCAGCACTTACAAGTCAATCAAAAAATGTGTGCACTGATGTAGAAATCAAACAACATAAAGGAAAAATTACTGAATTGAATTCGTAGAAAATAAAAATTTGCGCAGAACTCTAATTTATAACTGAATGTCATGATAAGTTACGCTTCTTGAAAATCCAAAGGTTATACAACTCAGGTGCCTTCATTCGTTGACTCAAAGTGAAATTTTCAGAATCGTTTAGAAATTTTACGAGCTGTGAATACAAACGACTTTTTTTGCATTTCAGTCGTAATTTTACGTTCCTTCTATAAAAGCTTTTGAAAAAGAAAGAGTCAGGGTGTGGGGTGTGGGGTGTGGGGTGTGGGG